CCATCACTGTTTTCTTGTTAGTGGAGCTGTAAGCGATAATAAAAACTCATACGGAGCAAGCTGCTTCGTTCATATAACGGAAGCTGTCATGTCTGGCGCCTGATGGCATGCCTCACCTAACCTGACCTGACGGGGCGGAATCGACGTATAATGATACGGCTCCAAGCCTCTGATGACCTGACCTGACCTGACGCAGACAGGTGCAATTGACCCTGTGGTACGGCTCTCATTGTTACCTCTGACGTTTCCTGACTTGGCTTCGGCAGGTGACACTGACACAGTGTTATGACCTGACCTGACCTGACACCGACAGGTGCAGTTGACCAGGTGTGGTACGGCTCTCATTGTTACCTCTGATGTCTCCTGACCTGACGTCGGCAGGTGACACTGACACAGTGAAGGAGTCGCCTGCTACTCCTGCTGACCTGAACTGACCTGACCTGGCGCCGGCATGTGGAACTGACACAGTGGTACGCTCACCTGTTATGACCTGACCTGACCTGACCTGGTGTCGGCAGGTGGAGCTCACCCAATGGTACGGCTCCAAGCACAACATGGGCATGGCGTTTAACCGTACCACGTGGCGCATGCTGCGCTCGTGTACGTCGCTGTTCTGCTCGTTCGACGACTACAACTGGGACTGGAGCGTGCAGTACATCTCGCAGACGGGCTGCACCGGCCAGAAGCTGCACGCCATGCTCATCAAGGCGCCACGGGTCTTCCACATCGGCGAGTGGTACGTAACCCGTGTGACCCTGATAGTAGGTGACCTGTCTTACCTTGGTACACGACCTGTCTGACCCTGGTGGTACGTGACATGTCTGACCCTGGTAGGTGACCTGTATGACCTGTCAGCAGGTGACCTGACTGACCCTGGTATGCACATTGTGCGTGAACTGTGGGACCCCGATTCCCGGTGGTAGGTGACCTGTGTGATGTTTGAGCAAAATGGAGCTTGACCAGTGACCTGCACAATGCACATACGGTATAATTGATGTCCGTGTGACCTAACTGACCCTTACATGTGACCTGTCCGACTTTTCAAGTACATGACCTGTCTGTCTGACCCCGGTCGTACGAGCAGACACCGGCACCGACACCGACCCTTTACAGGAACAACTGCACACTGCACACTGCACAGTAATAGGCGCGCAGCACAATAAGGAAATAAAGTTTGGGATGGGCCTACCCCGATGCGCGATATTTATGTGTGCGGGTGGAGAACCGCAAGCTTTGCGATACATTCTACGGGTTTTCGATCCATCACGAGGCAGCACATTGCATAAGGAGGACCGGACGGATCTAGGAAACAGACGTATCCGTTTCGCTGGCTCATATTTCGTGGCTGATCCATCAACACACTAGCCAATAGCCATGACGTGTTTCGACCCAGCACTGCACAGCGGCGGGGTGCGAACATTCACCAAACATGGTTCACTCCCCTCGTGAGTCACGTTTGCTTGTTGAGCTCTACTCTCACCGTCTCCACTGGAACGACACCTGTGCGCCCGGTCAAACAGTGAACCGTGGACGGCATCGAACCGTGCTCCCAAAACAGCGCCTCGACTCGCTCGAACGGCGCTGCATGCATCGGTCGACGATGCGCAGAAATCAAACAGGACGGCAAACATTAACCCAGCAAATAATCAACGTGAAATCGAGAGAGAGAGAGAGAGAGAGAGAGAGAGAGAGAGAGAGAGAGAGAGAGAGAGAGAGAGAGAGAGAGAGAGAGAGAGAGAGAGAGAGGAGAGAGAGAGAGCGAGAGAGAGAGAGTGAGAGAGAGAGAGTGTGAGTGTGAGTGAGAGTGAGAATGAGAGTGCGAGTGAGTGAGTGAGTGAGTGAGTGATTGAGTGAGTGAGACCATTGCGTTACTTAAGTCGTCGTCTTCATCTTTCTTTTTATCATTCAAAATGTGTTGTGCTTAATGCGTAGGCATGTCCACAACCGGTAACTCTATACCCTATTAGCCCCCCCCCCCGGTGCTCTTTTGGCACATCACGCAAAGTTAGCTTCAGAACAGCGATATGCTATGCCAAGCACTGCTACAAGCAATGAAACATGCACGAAGTTGCACTAACACGCAATTCTCATACACGATTCAAACTTCCTATATGTGCAGTGCAGTCTGCAGTCTGCACCTAGCCATGATAGACGGCTATTTGCCGTGAGTAACTGATAGCCTAGAGGGGGGGGGGGGAGGGGTCCCAAAGTGCCGGCGGCAGTATCAACCGTCATGCGATATCCATATGGCCGGCGGCGGGTAATGGAGTGTGGGCCGAGGGTAGCTAGGTACCCTGCTGCTGCCGGCCGCTCGTACCATTATGGTCCCAGGACGAGGACACGCACTGGGGCGGTCACGGGTGGCTGACATGGCAACAGACTCACACGGCGACCTTCACACATGCCCTGTTCTCACGGTAGGCAGAAGCACGAAGGGCAAGTTCTGGTGCGCGTTCCAGGACATTCCTACCTGCGCCATATGTTTTCGTTGCAAGCAACCGCAAAAGGCGCGAAAACAGATTTTCTGCGTTTTGCGCTGTATAAGTGTATAGGTGCGGGGCACATGACCCATTGGCCATTGTGCTCGATATTTGTCGCGGCATTTCCCTTGTGCTCCACCCGTACACACTGCACTGTCTGTCTCCCCACTCTTGTCTAACGGGCCGACACCGTCCTCCCTCAGCGGCGTGCACCACCGGGGCAAGAACTGCGACAAGTTCTCGCTGCTGAAGCGCGTGTCGGCCACACTGCTGTCGGCCAGTCGCTACCTCTTCCCGCCGCGCATCACCGCCTACCTCGCCATCACGCGCCGGCTGAAGCTGATCAAGGGCAACGGCGGCTGGGGCGACCCGCGCGACCACTACATGTGCACCACGCTACGGCTGCCCAACAGCACCTGGACGTGGCCGGAGCCGCGGCCGGAGCCGATCAAAGCGGCGGCGCCGGCGGCGGCGCGGAGGGCCTGGAGACGCCGCGGCGTGCCCGGCTCCTGATACGGCCCCAACCGACGGCCGATGGCCTGCCGCGGCGGCTGGAGGGGCTGCGCCGTGCGCGCTGGGGGCGCCGAGCGCTGAGACAGCACCGACCGCTGAGACGGGCCCGCGGTGGGGCTGAAGGGGCTGCGCCGTGCGCGGTGGGGGCGCTAAGCGCTGAGACGGGCCTCCAAGGGGGCTGGAGGACTGCTCCGTGCACGCTGGAAGCCCCGACCGCTGGGACGGGCCGCGGTGGATTGAGAGGCTGCTCCGTGGACGGACCACGTCTGGAGGGTCTGCTCTGTGGACGCTGGGGGTGCTGAACGCTCAGACGGGCCGCGGCGAACTGCGGAGTGAACAGGTCAAGTCGTGAGTGGCGGATGGTGGGCGAGTGGGAGTGACGGTGCGCGAACGCCGCTGTGTGAACGTTAGCGCAGACGTGTCGAAGTTTGTGATGTAAGCCATGCTTGCTGTACAGTTGGGCATTGTTGTGCGTATTTTGTGCGTGTTGCGCTGAGCGCTCTAATATCTGATTACCAAATACTGCACTGTACTGCAAATAATCCGTGGAATGGAGCTGATGAGTGTAGCGCATGTGTAACTAGCCATGGAAGGCCGCGTGTGGCTTTGCTCGATGCTCTCATTCCATGTCCCGAACCAGTCTAGCTCAGAGCCAAAGAGCGTCCCCTGGTCGAGAAGATGGGTTCCGTCACTCACCGTGCTATGGAACAGGTCTTCATGAGAGAGAGTCCGTGGAATGGGGAAGGGCAGGTCCTGGGTCACCATTTTTGTTATCAGCTCTGTAGATCCTCGGCGTATCCGTGCAACGTGAAGCTCCTCTGCCGCCTGCTGTCTCCGTGCACCACGCAGTGCAGGCTTCTCGAGGACAGGATCTGTGCGCGAGATCCTTAGGCCTCTTATGGACAGGGCGTTGTGGATGGGATATTTAGGTGGGTGAGTATCACTTTCACAACTGCTGGGCAGTGTACTTCTGTTCGTTTTTAGCATGTCTTTAGTATGCCACTTTTGGTCCTTTACTTGGGAGCACCCGCCACATTGATGTGTAGGAAAAGGAAGAACGACCTCACGACGGACGGAACTGTTTTCTTAGTGAGGCTGTGCCTAGCCTAACATTTGAGCGACACGATGGCTGTTTTCACCATGTCATGCATTCATTTACGTAGATATGCAGTTCCTAAATATGCTCTCATACCAAGGCAATGATGATGTAATGTAATAACTACTGATGCCGTGATACTGGGTCGCGCCTGCCGCCTTTGGTTAGGGCTCATTGTTTATTACTCGCACCTATATGCCGGGTTCACGCCGTATCAGCAGGTTGGGTCATGACACAGGTTTTTGCGAGCCTGCCGGCCAACGCCGCGATATGGCGAGTAGTCGCTAATGTGACTCCAACTCCCGTTAGTGATTCGAGCGGAGGGCGGGCAGTGTGTGCGCTGGGGGAGCCATCTATGCACGGGAAGGGCGCTCGTCCCACTGGGGTTCTGTGAGCTGTGTTGCACGGTGTCGTCTGGTCCCGTCTCGTCGGTCAGGGTGTACCCAGTGCCAGCACGGAGAGACGGTGTCCCGTCGGGGGACAGTCATCCCGCCGGATCCGACACACGGTACATGGTGGTCCGGTGCTGCGAACAGTTCTGAAATGTGATATCTGAGCCATGTCTGAAGACGATAAATGAGAGATTGAATACATAACTGTATGGTGAAAAGTGGGTTCGTTTTGTGGAAGCGGCTGCAGCGCAACGGTGGTGCTATACCTGCCACCTAGTGAGCGGCATCTAAACCTATGGTACCAGCTGGTCGCCGACCAGGGTAAACACTGAACGAGACCAGCCCAGTGTTCTGCGACTAGCCCAGCGTTCCGCGTCCGGCACTCTGTAGCATTTGTCCAGATGCCAGCCACCGCGAGTCCTGTCAACTAGCATCGGGTGCAATGCCACTTACTGACTACCATGCAAGCTAAGCAAATACGCAGGTATCCCCTTACAGTATACTGCAAAGACGCTGATATTGGAACTCAAAGTAATGTATTCCACTTGTTTGCAAAGCGAAAACCCAGCTGAATACCTCTAGCTTCTAACTACCGCTGGCACTACCGCAATGTCACAGCCCTGAGATATGACACACATGGCACAAATGTACATAAGAGCATCAAATAGGGAAGGTTGATGCACATCAGCGCTGTTTCGTGGTCAGATTGAAACCGCCTCGAACGAACAAGGTGGTTTGATGAAGATTCAGATGACAATCCATTATGTACAAAGTTTGCTTATCCACATCACATAAGCAGTCGAACGTTGTTTGGAATACTAGGAATTCCAGCTAATGGGACACGATGGTCGTTAACATGTAACTCATTCGGATTCAAAGTACAGAAGAACATAAGGAACTGACCTGGAAGTAACGCGGTCATTCCGAGTCAGAAAAGCAGCGAACAGCTGACCATTGCCAGTGTAACCTTGTCTGGCACAGCAGCTGTGTTCTGCTGAGACCGGTGGACTGCTGGACGGACTCAGTGACGGCGGCGGCGCGTCCTCGGCGACTCAAGCGCCCTCGCACCGCTCCTGGTCGCGGCGCACGCTCGCCAGCAGGCGCAGAATCTCCAGTTTGACCCGCTCGGCCCGCTCCCGCGGCATCCGCCGCAGGGCGTTCAACACCATCATGCTGAACTCGAAGTTTTCGTCCATCTCCTGCTCTTCCTCCGGCTCTTCGTTCCCCATCTCCACCAGCACGTCCACCAGCTCCTCCTGCGGCCCCTCAGCAGGGCACTCCGGTCGCTCGTGGCGTGGCTCCTCGGCGGCCGGCTGCTCCGCCTCCGTCAGCCTCGGCCTCTTCTCCGGAGCCGGCGGCGAGTCGGACATCGCCGGAGCGTCCGGGTCTGGCGGCGGTGAGGACCCCCTCTTGGGTGGGTGGCTGAGTGAGTCCATTACACTGAGTATCTGCAGCCGACAGGTGCTGAAGAGATTGGAAAGAAAAGGTGGCACAAAATCACACATGTGAAAAAAAAATCGCGCCTGCAGTCTGAATAACTCAAGACACCATTCTAATTTCATTTTATTGTCACTATTGCTTGGAATTGCCTTGAAATAGGTATATCGAATAATTTTGTACAAACTAGCACCACATCTGCATTAGGTAGGTATGTAACATGTATAACATCTCAACAACCCATCACACAAAACCTCTGACATTTTTTTTTAAAATACCTAATGGTATTGTTAGTTTGAGGCAAGATTATGTGGCAGGTTTTAGTCAGTTGAGTTGAGTTCACACTTGTTCTTCATTGATCTATTTCCATTGAATATGCAGCAGGCCAGCAGAGACATTTATTTGACGAAACAACTGTCGCTATCCTGGAATATCAATTAATGAAACACATCTTAATTCTTATGCCATACATTTTAAGCATCCTGGACCCTATGGAGAGTAGGTTAAGGTTAATCACTAAAATGACCAAAAATTTAGTTAACACACCACTTTTTTGTTAAGTTAGGTTAGGCTCTTTCGACCTATCAGACCATTTCAGAGCCGGAAAGATGATAGGAATTAGGGGGAGACATTGGTCAGGGAGGGCACTCTTGTGAGTTGTCAAGGCTAAGCCCATTGAGTGGACAGGCCACCCAGCCCTGACACTCACTGCAACCGGCTAGGAGTGTACTCCTATGGGAGCTTCCCGAATGGGATAAAGTCGCCTGTTTAGCCAGAGACGGGATTGAGGCATGTAGAAGGATTTGACTGTCCTGAGGACGGAAATGACAGAATGGTGATGACATGCCACTACCACAAAATTATTTATATACACTTTTCACAAAATACTCACGTCTACTATCAAATGATTGATATTCAATAATTTAAGAAGCCTTCATTCAATTATAACGCAGCTGCGACATTTCCTGCGCGAAGGAACAGCGATTTTCATCAATTAATCACAGCTTACCGCAATCAGTCCGCAGAAACAATGGTTCCTGATGAAAAATGCCCTCGTAAATAGCTCACAGCAAATAAGATATCTTCAAAATAACTAAATTAAGTCCCCAGCTTCGCACTGCCACATACAAGGCGGCAACAACAAACGTGGTGCACTGTTCAAAGCCGATCGGACAGGCAAATAGAAAGGAAGTTGCCTAGCAACCTGCTGAGGTGTTCCTGATTTGACGTTCTCTGGCTCAAGGCTCTATAGAACTCTGGCTCCTGCTCTGGCTCTTGTAGAGAGCTATGGGTGGAGGGCTTGTAGATTTGGCGTGCGTCAGCCGAGTATCCATGCATTTCCAAACTTCTTGCGTGTTGTGGTTTGGTTGTGGTTAAATGCGTGCCAACATGTAAAATGATGTTCGTCCCATGCATTATGGTGGGTGCCAAAGTCACGTCAAGGTCAGGTCAATGCCACTGACCTTTGGTAATCTTGTTTTTTTTTTAAGTCGGTACAACTTTTCAGAGTAGTTTTCGGAGTTGATTTCAAATTTAACACTCATCTGGACATTTGAGAATATAGTGCTGGTACCCACGGGTGGTAATCGCCTACAATGCCAGCGGGACGTCTAATGGTTGAGATCTGACGGTCCGACCTTACCAACATGCATGATGCATGAATACGTAATCATGGATCAAGACGGATCAAAACGCATTGTGGCTTGACGACTGATCTTATTGAAGTAATATGCACATACACGCGTTCTCACACGGAAAAGAACACCAAACAATGCAGCCAACAAGTCAGACGTCCGCGCGGCGTCCCATATCCGGTCACGAACGCACCCTCAGTGGCAGCCCGGAGCGGCCACCTCTCCCGTACGAGCCCCGTTCGGTGGCACATTACCAGCGACGTTTAGACATTTCTTCAATGAGACTGCCCTACAGCAAATACAAATTAAAACCGTACTTTGACGTAACACCATCCAAACAACTTGTCAGATCCAGATTATAGAGCAAGAACTAAAACCGCTCCAGAATCGGGCATCATGCAATCGAAACAGGCGAAGTTTAAAGGCATGACCAGCCGCATAGTAGGCCGGTAGGACTGTGCCACCGAACAGAGCCCGGACTGGGAGAGCCAGACGAAAACCAGCGCTGCGCACCGGCTCAGACGAACCGGCGCCCCCTCCCGCAGCTCGCGCTAAAACCCCCCCACTCCCCAACCACAGCGGACACTGATGAAACAAATGCAAACTCAGGCAGACCTCATGTCCACTTACACGCTAAAACGGGGTCAAGGTATATACAGCTGTGTACAGGCTAGCCAATCTCAACAACGCGCGCGGCTAGACTCTTGTCTTACGTCCAGAACAGTAGGTACAGTGACCATTGAGCGAACACACTCGGCGGCACAGGTCATCGCCGCGTCACACAACCAACGCGCAGGGCGCGACACAGCGGGAATGTGCGCTCTCTCTCTCTCTCTCTCTCTCTCTCTCTCTCTCTCTCTCTCTCTCTCTCTCTCTCTCTCTCTCTCTCTCTCTCTCTCTCTCTTTCCCTCTCCCGCCCCTGGCAGACCGGTACGTCTCTCCTCAGCACTCTCAGCCCGTCCGCAGCCCTCCGCGCTACACTCTAACCGCCCTCCGCGGCCCGACAAGCTCGCTGACAATGTGAAACAACGGCAATAAATAGGTGGGTCTCTGTGCGGCGTACCGGGGTCGGCCGCAGCCGCTCTATGTACACCCTCCCCCGCCGGCGGCGGCCCGGCGCGCGCCGCGCCCGCCCCGCTCGACTAGGTGAGTCGGTTGGCCGGCCGGCCGGCGAGGCGCTATTGCTGGCTGGTTTGTACGAGTCGCGGTCGGCGGGCCGGGCTACTTGACTGGCGCGGCCGGCGCCGGCGGTGTCTGCAGCGCGGCGGCCGCGTTTGACGACACCCAGTTCTTGAACACGTCCCTGGGAACGGAGACGGCCTGTCAGTCGGACTGCTGGGGTGGAGGGGGCCAGGGAGAGCCGGCAGGGGCCATAGCAGAGCAGAACAGAAAGCAGGTGTGCATGATTCGCTCGGCTTGTCGGGGTCAAGTCATGAACATGCAAAAACTGCCTCTTCTCCTAACCTGGGTAGGAGCAGCGCTAGCTGTAATGTGCCACAGTAAGACAAACCTACTGGAACTCCCACGGCAAAACAAATAAGACACCATATCATTCAGTCCATCCCCCTATTCCCCAGGCCATTTTAACGACAACTGAACCACCATGAATGACCACCCTCATTCAGTGTTGTGCGGTAAGAAAACGGCTCGTCACGCACCTGCAATGGTTGACGACGCACTCGTTGCTGCAGTACTCGTCCTCCCACTCGGGGTTACTGACGGGCGGGTTCCGGCAGCCCACGCGCAGGCAGGTGACCGTCTGCTCGGGGGCCGGGGGCGCCGCCGGAGAGCTGGCAGAGCGGCCTGGACTGGCCGCCGGAGCAGCGCCCTCGGCGGCCGCCGGCGGAGAGTCCTGCTGCGGCGCGGCCGACCGCGGCGGGGAGACGGCCGCCGCCGCCGGCTGCAGCTGCTGCTCCTGCTGCTGAGGCGCCAGCTGCTGCTGCTGAGGCGGCTGCTGCTGCTGCTGCTGAGGGGTCATCTGCTGCTGCTGGGGCGGCATCTGCTGCTGAGATACCATCTGCTGCTGTTGCTGCTGCTGCAGTTCCTGTTGTTGCTGCAGCTCCTGCTGCTGTTGTTGCTGCTGCTGAAGCTCTTGCTGCTGCTGTAGCTCTTGTTGCTGTTGCTGTCTTTGGAGCTCCTGTTGCTGCTGTTGCTGTTGCTGCTGCTGTTGCTGCATCATCATCATGTGCTGCTGATGTGCAAGCTGCTGTTGCTGCTGCTGCTGCTGCTGCTGAGGCGTCATCTGCTGCTGAGCCATCTGCTGCTGCTGCTGCTGATGCGCTAGGTGCTGCTGCTGCTGCTGCTGCTGCTGAGGCGTCATCTGCTGCATCTGTGGCACGGCCGGGCCGGGCGCCATGGGCGGCGAGCCGAGCGGCTGGGGCGACAGCACCGCCGACAGGCCGGGCGGCGACTGGGACAGGTGCTGCTGCGGGCTGCCCAACTGGTGGTGCTGCTGAGGGCTGCCCAGCTGGTGCTGCTGCTGCTGCGGGCTGCCCAGGTGGTGCTGGGGACTGCCCAGATCCGGCATCTGTTGAGGAACACGAAAACCCGTATAAGTCTCAGTAAACACTGAATCAGACGAACAAACTGTACCGAAAGCACGGCACACCAACGAGAAAGTCTTAGCGGCCAATGGACACGTTATGCTCTGCCGGTCACAGACACAGTGAAACTCAGAATCCCCAGAGCACCTGCCCCCTCCTCTAGTTGGAGTGCCCTCCCCACCCCGTGAGGGTGTGACTCTTCGTTCCCTCCTCCCCTAGCCGGAGCGCCGCACCTCCCCGTGTGGTGGAGTGTGGCCCTAGTCCCCCGGGACGCGCAGCCGCTGACCTGGTGGTGCATATAGAGCGGCTGGGAGGCGGGCGGCAGCATGGGCTGAGAGGCGGGCGGCGGGCCGCCGTGGTAGCCGCCGGCGCCCATCATTCCACCGGCGCTGTACAGGGTCGGCGGCTGCAGCGGAGCGCCCAAAAGGTCCTGTCGGTCAGAGGGGGAGGGGGACGGTCAGAGGGGGCGGGACGGAGCATAGGGTCTGCAGGGGACGTCATCATGTCACGGTTTCGTACACACCACACAATCAGGGGTCCGTAGGGCACAAGAACTACAGGACGGTAGGAGAAGTAACGGGTCGCAACTCGCAGGTCAGAGAGGTTACAGGTCACAGAGTTGGGTGGAAAGGCATAGTCCCCAGAGCGTCGACGGGAGTTTCGCCATAAGGAGGATTCGACCTTACAAGACGAAAATCTCCACCATATGGTCAGTCGAGCAATCCCACACGTGGGCGGGGCGGCGCGCCGACCCACCGACGCGACCGTGAACACTGGGACCGACGGATTCGGGTCACTTGGGACGGCCGTGACTGGCTGCTCAGTCGATCAATCCGTCTGCTCGGGTCAGTCCGGTATCCCCTGTCCAATTGCACTCACGTCATTGCGGGCGAGCGCCTCCGGTCCGCGCATTGTCTATCAGGCTGCTATATCTCCGTGTCCCGTCAAAGCCGTCTCTGTTATCCCGCTGACGTCTTGCATTCTGCTCTCCATCGCTGTCCCGAATTCCATCTAAACACTGCTCCGTTTCTATTTCCCGTGTTAGCTGATGGTTTCCCCCTATCCCAGGATTCAATCTCACTTTCCACAGCTCCGTTTCGCATCCTCTCTCCCTCACCTGCTGCTGCTGCTGATGTCCCTCTGCCATCAGTGAGCTGAGCAGGGGCGACTTTTTGGCCATTCCGCCGGCCTGCGCGGGCCCGGCGGCCGCGCCGCCCTGGTACGGCCCGGGCGCGTACCCGCCGGCGCCCGGGTACGGCTGCGCGCCGCCGTAGCCGCCGTAGTTGGCGAACATGCCGGCCTGCTGCTGCTGCTGCTGCTGCTGTTGAGCGGCCGCCGCCGCCGCCGCCTCCTCATTGTTGGTCTGCCGGAGAGAGGGGGTGACGGTCAGAAAGCGGCTGCAACTTGAGACAGGAACGGACTGATGTTCGAGTGCATTCAGTACGTGTTGAGAACAGATGGCGAGCTTTCACTGTGGCAGCTTTCAACATTTCGAGACGTTGCAGAGTTCAAGTCTGGGAGTCTCAGGGTTGGGTCAAGTCGTCCTCGACAGGGCTGAGGCAGGCTGACAGACAGGCTGATGAAGGGAGAAAGGCCTAGCTAGAGAGCTTCTCAATTTATCTTTCTTCAAGGAGGCAGCATGCCAGTTATATGCCAAGCATAGATATATGACAATCGTTTTGCAGGATTAGGCATCTGATTTGCATCTGATTGTAATGGATCCTCGGCTCAAAATGTACCATATAGCATCCGAACGCCAGCTTTTTTAACAAAATTGGGTCATAATAGCGGTTCGAGGGGAGGGATGGGGCGGGAGGGGGAGGATTAACAGTAGATAATCGCTTATGAGCCGGCCCTGCAGAACTGATTAATTCGCGATGACAACCGGGAAAATAGATGTCCTTGGGCAACTTTCGCTTTGGCCTGATACCAGGTTTACACAGATCCATTCCAGGTAAGATCGCCTAACCCATTACAAGCAACGC